CAGTACACAGAGCCTCAACTAGGCAGGGTTTCAGAGTTTAGGGGTCTCAGAGTTTAGGGTTTAGGGGTTTAGGGTTTAGGGTTTAGGGGTCTGGGTTTGGAGGGGACTGCACTCGAAACTTCCCCCGGGTAGGACGCCCTCTGAGCATGCGAAATGGCTGCAAAGAAAGCTTTCACGTCCCACACACTGCACTGACCACGCTGCCGTTGATGACTGCATCTGGAGGATCACAGGCCCGGATCCTGAATCCTCTGCCCCAAACCCTCACGTCGAAGTTCGAAGCATAAATCGTGAAAATCTGATTCCAAAAATCCCGGAACCCTAAGACCTTGAAGCCGTAAACCCAAAACGAACCCCCCGACTGCCCGAGGAGGGAGGCAAAACCTGCAATTCACCAGCCATCGTCACGATCACCCCAAGACGATCACCAACCTGCTTCACTGGGCTCTTGAAGAGAAGTTAAGCTTTAAGACTTCGGGCTTGGGATGTAGGGTGCAGGGTTCAAGATTCATGGAAGAGGGCTGGGGAGTCTAATTGAGGGTTCAGGTTCGGACTGTAAGGAGCGGGGAGTTGAAATCGGCGCTTAGGGGCTTGACGCGCTGCGCTGGCCCCTTCAAACGTCCGATACGTGAATATAGCCTCGCGAAGGCTCTAGATTCACCGTTGTACGATGTTACACAAGACGATCATCGCAGCCAAGCTCTTGCTCATAGAAGGGCAACACAAGCTGTGGGCAATTTGACCAGCAAAAGCAAGCTCCATCAGGGTTTGTCTGTCCACGAAATCGAAAATCCCAGCTTCCCTTCTCACCATTTCTACTCAAACACCCCGAATCCTAAACTTCAACTCTGAACCGTAATGTACTTATAAACTCAAAGCTCTGAAACCCTGTTTCAAGAGACTTTCCATTTACGACCTGCCTCATCGAATGAGCCTTTCCTGCGTCAATGCGCTGGTTTTGAGTTTGACGTAAGTGTCAAACCCCAAGCGGTGCAAGTGCTCCGCCTTCTACCCAAAGTCCTACAACCCCTACATCATCTCAATGAACCCTGGTCTTCGGAAGAAAAAATTGAACCTAGGGACCCAGGATTTGCCGGTGTTGTCTACGGCAAATGTGCAAGGCTGAGCATCAACGAGCCACCTGGAGTGCCTTCGGGGACCACGGAGCAGGTCCCCAAAGAAGCTGTGCTCCATCCCACTCCATGCCTCAGCGGGATAACAGCTCTCCATCATCGACAGCAGAACCAGCAGAACCACCACCCTCCACCACCACAACCACTACCCCACCGCTGCCTCCACAACCACCACCACCGCCGTCACAACGACCATCATGCGACCATCTCCTTTCTGATCGCAGAAGTCACTGTTGTCTTTTCTCGGTTGGCGCTGACAGTGTTAGCATGTTACGAGCAACTAGTTTAAAGCTTATTAAAGCGCTTCGACAACTTCCAGCCCTTCGGCGCAGTTCTCCGCAACAGCAACTCCTGGGCCCCTATGCATGCACGCGAATCTGACAGCAAGATCCCCAATTGAAAGTCTCAGGTCCCGAAATTCTTCAGAGCCCTCCTGGAAAGCCATGCGACCCTAAATCCCGGAACCCCAAACTTAAAAACCTGAACCCTTGTGCGCTGAGTTTCAGCCCTGAAGCCTGAACACCCTGAGCCCGGAACCCTAGACTGGAAGAACACACAGGAAGAGTTCCAGGCGTAGGAACCCCTTCGGTTTTTTTGAGCAACTATAAGAATGATGTTGCAGGGACTGCCGGTGTAGCCCTCATAATGTCGGGCATCCCGCAAGCGGCTTAGGACGGGTGCACCAAGGAGGTCTCAGGCGGATCCTGCAACACAAAGTTCAGGGATCAGGTATTTCTGACTGGAAACCCGACCACAACTCAATGCAAAACGCGTTCAAACTATAGGTCTCTGCGGTTTCGGTCAGCTTTCGAGCGTCCCCCTTGCTAAGCACCTTGGGGCGCGGACCATCGAAGCCCAGCAGCCAACAGGGATCGATCTCCTTGGAGTCGCTCGAAACCCGAGATGCGGACCCCGCTAATCGCTCCTTGTTATAAGGACCTTTCCAATGCCGTGATGCTGAGTTGCAGCGCCCTAGCTGCACAGAAGTACAACCGGGCTTGGGGGCTTGCATGCTTCCGGAAGGATCTGCAAGAATTCGCTTCAACGAGATGGATACATCAGCTTAGTAGTGCACTGCGCGAAACTATATACTTGGGTGCTTCGGATCCACCTCACCTGCAGCAAACATTATTTTTCCAAGCACTCCGAAGTCAAGCCCAAAGCCGAAAGCCGTGAAAAGAACCGTTTCAGAATCAGACGCGATGTACCTCCGGATGGCTTTTGAAACGTGGCTCCTAGATTCGAAGCCCTCATTCAATGTTCTGTCCAATACCGTACACTAAAGTGGATCTTGAACCCCAATCACGACCTCAAACCCGACGCCCTTCGGTTATGCTGGGAACCCGTCATCCATCGTCTGGGGGAGCTCCTGCATGGAGCGATCAAAGGGTGATGCAGGACTTGACAAGCCGCGGTAAGGCGATGAAGGTTAGGGTGTTGGGTTGCGGGGCCTGACCGAGGACCTCAGATTGCCGGTTCAGGATTCTATCGAGCGTTTGGGTGGGCACCAGGGCTGTTCAGACAGTCAGACATACATCTCTATAGAACACTTACGCCTGGAAATGCCAAAAATCTGCTTTAGGCCTTCGGATCTATGGGGCCTCACGGTTTATGTGTCGTTTCAGATTCAGGAGCTTACGAGCCAAGGGCGGGGTCGCGGAATGCTCTCTGGCTCCAGGACAGGTTCCAGTTAAGACTCAAAGACCCGCACAGCTGGGCTCAAACCGCGGGTCGCCAGGATGCATTCCTCAACTCTGATGCCGAAGCAAGGTACATTGCTGCACTACTAGCCCGAGAACCTTCTCTCTTCTGCCACGAGCAGAGCCATACATTCTGCGGACACCCCGAGGCCACCAACCCACAAAACCTGGGCAAGGATGCCCTAAGCTTCCAAGCTGTCCCTCTTCCCCCAGAACCGTAAACAGTGGCTTAAGCTCCTCAATTTCCCGTATGACCCGATCCAGAGGGCACCTCTGGAAGCATCTGTGGCGAGCAGGTCGTGACTCCAATCGCCACACCATCCTGGCAGCTGTGCTTCTCTGGCTTACCGGGCAGCATTCAAGTCTTAGGGTTTCCGACAAAGGCTTTGGGCCTTGGAACAGCTGTGTTCAACACAGATTAGCAACCCCCAAAGATGTGAAGCGTTCAACCGTTAACCCGGCCCATCCCTTTTCCATCAACCCCAAACCTCAAACCCCCGAAACCCTAAATCCTCTTCATCGATCGGTTGCGGATGCAGGTCCTTGAGGCTCTTTTACAAACCCGGGTTCTGCTCTGGCCTCTAGCCCCTCACGGACCGCATCCACGGAGACTTCGAAGAACCAGCCTCGGGTCTCTGGACAAGTGAATGCTTCAGGGTTTCAGGTTGGTTGCTGGTTCAGTGCTTAAAGTTGAGGTATCAAGGCAAAGGGCTTAGAAGTTAAGAAAAAATTGAACTTGCCCGTGTCGAGCTTATGTGGTCCCTGCTGATCTTGCAAGACCATGCCCTTCAAGCTTAGACCGACGCAATCGTCGTAGCTCCGCAGTGGTCCGTTGCTGACGAGGCCACCGAAGTGGTCGTAGGAACTGACAGCAGTGTGGGGCTCTCAAGCTTAGAACGACCATCCAACTTGTGCTGTCGTGGTTCTCACGAATTGCAGGACTTCCCATGGGGTTGCTCATGCCGCGTTAAGTGACACGCAAGACCTGGAAGCGGCTTGGGATGTGCTCTTCTAGCCTGCTCGCAACGCTCAACCCGACTAGACTCGAATCGCAGTATACCGCTCCAACACTGGTCAGTAGGCTGACGCCTGGACACATAGCTGGCGCCGAGCCCGTCGGAGGCGAGTGCAATCATCTTCCCGTGCCTCCCCAAGGGTAACAAAAAAGTTGAAATCACTTTACTCACTTTTCGGGCTACAGCTTATGTAGGTGGGGATGCTCGAGCCTCAATTCAAGGTTGGGCATATGAAGTCGTTCCAAACTGAGATTTGAGGCACCTGCTTTAAAAGGCGTCGTTTCGATTACCAGGACAAAGAAGCGAGATCGCTTCGAGTTCACGGCCGGACCCTGAACCCTGAGCTCTAAAGCCTAAAGTCTGAAGCCAAACCTCTCACTGCACCCCCTTGGGGCCCATGTCAGACTTTCCTCGAACTTCAGCTCTGGTCCTGGCCTCTCGCTACACCAGCCGGTCATCGTCGGCTGCAACTGAGTCAGGATTTGGACCGAAGGCAGACTTTAGGGTTTCGGTTTCAGGGTGGAGGGCTTAGTGACGGTCATTTGAGGAGTATTGTTCTGAGCGCGTAACAGGTGGGGCTGTGAACTGAGATTCCCCCAATGCCAGGTTCGATCTCGTAGGTTTCAGGGGCTGACAGCGGAAACCTCCAAAGCTCTCAAGCTCTAAACACGGCCGACACCTCGATCGAGGGGAGTGCTGGCCGGCTTGCAGCGGCCCCTTCCGCGATGCGAAGATGACCGACATGTTTGTTCAGGGCGTGCATTGAGGGAAGGACCTCGAAAGCCTCGACTTTCAAGATATGGCGTTGGGAGAGTTGCCAGCAGGACTTCCTGCTAGCGCCCTTACTCACAGACGGGGCTCGCTTATCTGGCGGAGACGTCCCTGAGGTCCGTAGCACTTGAAGACACCCTTGCCGAGAGGACGGGGTCGGCCTGATGCCGCGGCGCTCGATCGGGGTGCTGGTGCGTCCAAGAGCAAACGGACCTGAGCTTTTCGGGGGCTTTTGCCTCGACAGGCCAGGGCTTCGGGTTCAGGACATGAAGGCATCAGACCCTTGCTCGTCCCTTTTACCTCCTCTCTCGTTAGGCTTCAAGCCCAACAAGCTTCACAACTCCAATGAACCCCTAAAGGCCAAAAACCCTGATTCGGCCCTAAATCTTGAACCGCTCGGCTCCCCAGATTCCAAAGAAGGTCACAGGCCGCGCTGAGGCCCCGACTCCGTCCGTGGCGCCAAGGAGGTCCACGAGTGCGTAGAGAGGCCTCGGAGGTCCGAAAGCCCTCAGTTGGAAGCCCTGGAGAGGCCCTAGGCATCCGAGACCCCGGATCTGGCTCCCTGAACATTGACTCAAGATTCTCTCTCGCAGGCATCGCGCCAGAGCTCAACGCCCAAGCTGCCAAAACGCTGAGAAAAGAGGGCTCATTGGAGTTCGTGGTACATTGAGGGATAGTTCTGCTTTGAGTTCGTCAGGCTCGTGTATCTTTCTTGTCGTGGGGTTCACTCGACAGGGTGGCAAGCATACGAAGTCTAATGATGCAGCATAGCAGAAAATTCTGGTAGAATTAAGCAACACCTGAGGGTCCAAGCTGTCTCCCCATCGAGTGAAGGTTTTGAGGCTCGGGGCTTAGTGCATCGATTCAACGCTGCCACTTTCGCTGGCCCCTTCTCGCTCCTCTCCCTCTCTCGCTCTCTCTCTCTCTCTCTCTCTCTCCCCCTCTCTCTCTCACTCTCTCTCTCTCTCTCTCTCTCTCTCTCTCTCTCAGATGGAACCAGAGAAGTTTACAAGAAGGCAACCGCATCAGTCCTTCGAACAGGTTCGGTCGCAGAGAGAACTTCTCCCTCTCCTACCCATGTGGCGCCAGACTGCACCCCAAAACCCCAAGCCCGACGTCCTACATGTTATAGTCTTTAACACTGTACCAGAAAGGGAGAGCTTCTAAGAGCCACGCACGTTGGTGGGAATGCCCTGGTGGGCCTGTGCTGCCAGCTGGCCATTCCTTATAAGTTCGACGCTTGCTGTCTGAGGCTGGGGGTCCAAAGGAGTTACGGGTCTAGAGTCTAGAGTTTCCACGAGTCTTACATCACAAAGCCTAGCGGCCCTAGTCGTTCAGCCATGGATTTGGACCGAGGCATGAGATCAACTTAGAAGACTCAAAAAGGACTCGACCCCGAAAGCCGGCAGCCCAACCTCAAGCATTGCAGTCCCAGAAGCTGGAAGAGCACCATGCGGCCTTCCTCGGCACAAGCAAGGAGAACTCACACTTATCATCCTTTTGCCTTGGGGACTTGAGGTCGCGGGCTCATGGGGGTTCATGGTCTTGTGGTTGGCCTGCATACAACCACCCTGTCACTGCTTTCCGAGGCCTTCCGGACTCCTTGAGCGAATTTCCGTCGGCGGAGCACTCCAGAACTAAGAGGACACTAACCCCGCTTCGGTTTTTGGTTTCGAGCAGAACCTGAAAAATGCATGAGGGCTTTAAGAAAATGCGACAGGAACCCACGCGTGATCCGGCCACTGTTGGCAAAGTTTGTCTGCGATTCCACAAGGTCCATACAAAATTGAAACTCATAGCAAACCCGACACCCGAACCCTCGCCCTCAAGCAGCCTCCGAAAGCATCCCTGCACCATAAGTTTCTGTTTTTGCAATGAACGATCATATCAGAAATTTCTAGGATTTCCCGAAATCCATCCGAGTTTGGATTTACGGTCTATGGGACTTCATGATGTACTCCTAGGTTCGAGGCTGGGGCCAAGACTGGGCCGTTGGGGGTCTTCCGGATATGGATGTTGAAGGATTAGCGCTTCGTCGGGCCTTGCTTTCCTTTTGAGGAAGAGGGAGCCGGAGGGGTGAAGGGGCGGGGGGCAGGGGGGACGGTTTGAGGTTCAGGGCTTATTGGTTAATTGAGTTGAGTTGGCTTAGGGACTAACCCTGAAAGCCGGAGACCCCAACACCAAAAGCCCCCAAAACCCTAAATTCCTCAAGGTCCGAAAGCCCCCAAAACCCATAAGCTCCGGGCCTCCGTGATCTGAAGGCCGATCTGATCACCGACGGACAGGTCTCGACCTGAGACCGCTCTTGGAGGCAGACAATACAGGCACCTGAATAGGGGCGGGGGCTGTTTTGTGAGTTCAATGTTAAAGAATAACTGTAAGTACATATGGACTAAGAAGGGAGGCTCTCGGGTCTTGAGGTTCGGGCGCTAAGGATTTCGGGCTGGTCTTGGGGCTGTAAAGCTAAGGGTCTGGGAGGTTCGATAATACGTTTGTCATTGCATTCGTGCTGTCAGCAGTACACCAGCTACCATCAGCACTGGTGTTATGAGTTATGACTGTTCTTCTCGTTCCCTTGCAACTGTTACGACTGTTCCTTACGCTTGAACCTGATGTTCTTGCTATTTATTGTTGCTCCCGTTGTTGTTTTCTCTTATTCACTCGACTACATCGATATTGTAAGCTTGGCGGAGGGTCTACCAAGAACGACCAGGATCATGGTCTTGGTTTCTGATGTGAGGACAACTCCATTCAACATGAAGCCTATTCTTCCTGACAGCACGGAGATTGGAGTACTACTTATGGTGATTGCTCTTCCTGAAGATTGCTTTTCCCTACTATGAGAATTGTCTTGCTGTGTTGCGACAAATCATATGATAACCGTGAGTACCAGTCTTACCATACTTGCTGCTGCTACGATTATTGCGTGCCGGGAAAGCGGAAAGACCAAACATCATCTTCACGGATGTGCAAAAGTGTGCCAAGGATCCGCCTTGCCCTTCACAACCACGGCACTTGTGCAAACAAGCTTGAGCCGACTTCATGTACAACTTCCAGCGAAGAACGCGGCATTTCACACCCTGCCCCCGGACTTTACAATGTTGGCACTGCTACTGTTGCTGCAATGTTGCTTCCACAACTATCCTCATGACCGCTGAAACCCGATATATTTGCTACTTCAGTCTCTCCTGTACTACAGTTCCTACTAGCTCCACAAAGAGTATGGCTGTGCTGCTGCTGTGGTGCGGCGCACATTTTCGCCGAAAACAATACTTATATTGTTCCGTGCCGGCGGCCGCTTCAACCACCGAGCAGGCCGAGTTCATTACAAGATTAAGATTCCGTAGCTTGGCGCTCCCGAACTTGGTGAATAGCTCTGGCAACATAGCAACGGCGGCATGCATATTTGGGGGGTTTGCGGTATATGGCTTGGACCCATGGATGCTCTTTCGCAATTTGGGATCTACGCTGGCATAAGACTACCAGCGTTGGCCGAAGCTGGGGCTCGCCACCATGCCATGCCAGATCTGTCCAGCGGTCGCAGGAGCTGTCGAACATCCTTGGGATTTTGCTGTCTTCGGATCGGAGGAGCCCAGCTAGAGGAGGGTTTACATCATAGCCTGTCGAGGCAACGCACTATTGGGGTCCCCAGCTAATCACAAGCCTATAGCCAACACGCATGCAGACGTGCGAAAGTGACGAATAGATATCAAAGCTGTTAATTTTGCCACTATCCACACAGCAAGCTCGGAGCTCTCAAGCCCTTAGCCCGGTGACCACACGAATTGTCGTCGCTCCAAGCAAAGGCTTAAGGAATCCAGGACATGGCAATTGGAATTTGAGCTTGCTGCACTGCTGGGGCTTCCGTTGCACAAGACGCGGTTATCGTCGGAATTTCTGTTCCTGATCTTCCAAATCAGCCGCAAGAGGCCAGGAACTTTCGAATGCCAAGTGAGACGACATCGTCAGCACTTCTTGCGTAGCTTTCGGCTCCTGTCCAGCTTTCAATCCCAGGCACTGGCCGTCGTACCCGGCCGTCCAGCAGTCCTTCATTGAAAGAGTGAAGAGCGAAATACAGCCAAGCAAAGTTAATCGGCCTTAATGCTTAGAATAAGGGGGGCATGATGTAATATAGATATCACAAGAAAGGCTTCATATAGGCAACTATTCAGGCCTCTATATAAAGTTCCGACCACTGCCTGATGCTTTTTTGTGTCTGCTCCCCTCCTGCACGCCGTCGATAGTGTCAGGCCTGCTTCGGGTTTGGGCGAACAGGCCTTGGGGTTCACCCAAAATTTGGGGGTCAGGAGTTTGAGCGGGTCTTTGGTGTTCCGAGCTTTCGAGTTCTCGAGTTGAAGACCTAGGTCCTTAGGCTGTCGGGTTGCGACTGTTGGGGTGGTGTGGGGTTCGGGGTGGACCAAAAAGAATGACGCGAGGCTGAACCTTTCCGGGGATGCATGATCTACTGCAGCACTCAGCTGGAAATCTGGATCAAGGGGGCTTGAGAGGTCAGCAAGTTCAAGCAGATGCAGAAATGCGCTCGCCTCTCGGGTGTATAAACTAAGCTACACCGCGCTGGAACACTTAAAATCGAACAGCCCCGCAAGTCGGGCACGCCACCGATCCATCAGAATGCAACCCAAGCCTGTCTACAAGAACACAGAACCCAACTTCAGTCGAAGCCAAAGGGCATGTCTGACAGCTCGTGGGGCGGCGTGGTGGTGACCCCAAGCGTGAGCCCTTAGCACTCGCTGAACTTCAATTCCAAGTCAGGCTTCATGTCTTCGGGTTCGGGCTTCGCTGGAACAGCCACGGCATTCTTGAAATGAAACCAGAAGCGTTTTGCTTCGATAGCTGCGAACAACAAGCGAGAACACTGGAAGCTTCTGAAAAGCCCCAACACCTAGATCCGCTAGCGGAGCGCAAGAAACACACAGACAGAGTCAGACAGATATGGGATGTCTTTCCCGTACTCCAGACGTGGCAAGGGGTGCACCCCGAACTGCCCTACTCCCTCGCCGTCAACTCTCCGCACGCATGCCACTACACAGCTACTCAGACTAACCCCAGACCATGAACAACAAAGCAAAACAAAACAAAAAACTTCTGCGCCGACGCCCTGAGAGCGTCGGCAAACTCTGGGGCCCTTGAACTCTTTGGGCCTTTCAGTCAACAACTTCGGCTCTCATCAGAGCCTGGGATCCTTTTCCCAAGGACCCCTGGGAGAATCCAGATAAGAAGGACCCCTAGTTCGAAGAAAAACAGCTGCAAAACGCGACTGGGAGCTGAGCCGTCCATCATCTCGGCCCGGACCTTCGTGACCTGCCACGCATGACAATTGCCATGGCGACGAGTGCCGTCGTACGACAGCTTATGACTCTTATGCCTGCTACGATCGTCGTGAATTTTGCCACCACCACCGGGTGAAGAGTTTGAGAGCGAAAAGGCTTGGGGAGTTTAGGGCACAGATACAGGGCACAGATAGGCCTTCAGGGTTAGGCTCAAGTCTTTTGCCATTTCTGGCGCAGGTCTTCATCAGGGTCTGGGGATGTTTAGAGCTTAGGATGATAAATTGCCTCACAGCTTGGGGGTTGGGACTTTAGCTTCGGGGTTTTGGTGCCTTGGAATTTAGGTTTCAGGGTTAGGGCTGTAGAGCCTTACTGTCTGACTTTGTCCAAACCACAACCGCTGCCTCCACCGCGAAGTAGAATCCGCCCGAGGCCTGTCTTTGCAGCCTGGGCTCCGGGGCTTGGGGTTTTGAAATCAGGGCGTGAGAGCCTGGAGTTAACCCTAAACCCTGAGACCTGGAACTGCACGAGCCTAGACTCCAAGTCCTAACTTGCAAACTCGTAAGAAGCCGAAACTGAAGCCTGAAAGCCTTCAACTCTAATCAATCCTAAGATCCTAGACCCTTGATCCAGGTGCCGAAGCAGGCATGAGCTTGATGCTGTTTTAGTCATGCAACAACTCACTAGTCAGATGGTGATAGATCTGTTCATTGGCGATAAAGAGAACGATGACAAGAAGACCCATGCTAAGAACAGTCGTGATCAAACGTCGCGATCGCAACAGCACTGACCATTACAACCCAGAACAAAAAACAATAGCCAATCACAGCTTTAATAGCTATTCACGCAGTAGCTAAGCGAACCACTGTTGTTGTGTGAATCCTGGGCAAACGCTGTCGAAAAGTTTACAGACTAGGTGGGTTTTGCATTTTCGCCTACAGTGTCTGGATTCAGATGAAGCGTGCCGCGAAAAAGCGCGTGATTGTTTGAATCCGCTGGCCGGCTCAACTATCCGACAAGGAGCGAATGATTGCCGACGAGCCCACCATGAAGCTCCAGCCTGCACAAACGAGGCGTGGGTTCTCGCTCTCTTGTTCGATGCCTCCCAACCCCTGCTGCTACTTCCCAGTGCGACGGCTGCTTCTACGATTGCTGCTGCTGCTGCTACTACTACTACTACTACTACTTCTTCTTCTTCTTCTACTACTACTGCTACCACCACTACGACGACGTTGACTCCCCCAGGTGCTGCTACGACATACTACTCATACTCTCCTCCTACGCTCCTATTCCGATTGCTGCTGCTGCCGTTGCTGCTATCACACCCACCACCGCTGCGCCACCATCATGGAACTGACAACCTTCACCGCCGAAAGCAGCAGCGCCAACACCACTGCCAACGGCCCAATTCCGAAGCTGACGTTTATCGCCCTACGAGAAACCGTACAGAAAATGCATCATACTATCTTACCAGCTAGACGATAAGGAAACCTTCCAGAAAGAAATTCATGCAAGACCACACACTGTTCCAGGCCATCTACGGAATCTACGGGGCTTGTTGCTACATTGAAAGCAAAGGCTCAAAATCACGAGTCGGCACATTTGCGCCCTTGCTGAAAGGGTTTGTGGTATGCCAAAACGGGCCGTTGTATGGCAAAGACAACGACAACTACTCCCATCAGCAAGCGGCAAGAGCCCGGTGCCCGACCCAGTCTGTCCGGTGTAAGTCGCTGCGAGCCGATCCTGCGCCCAAATAAGCACGTTGTCTCACACAACCTGCCCACCAGAACAGCCCATCCTAAACGTCAAAGAACCGCCTAAGCATTCAGGACGCGGACAGTCAACAAAACCGTCCAAGCACGACCAACACGGCAAAGCTCTAGCAGTAGAGGACATGTACCCGGAGCGCTTCCTGAAGTGATAACGCCCGGAAGCTTCCTGACAGCTTGCTGCTGCAAACTTCAGGCCGGGAATTACAGTCTAGGGTTTAGGCGGCAGCAGGCTTCAACGTTGTCTCTTCCGGTTGGGATTGATTTATGTGCTACCGCAATCCCAAGCCCCAAATCGTGAACCCTGAATCCCCCAAACCCGAAGCTCGGAACCCCAAAAACCCAACCCTCAACCCAAACCCCAAACCCTAAACGTAGGCCTGAACCCCCCTTTCTGTTGATGTGTTTTTTTTTTCGGTGGGGGCTGCGGGGTTTCGTCCTCCGAGAGCTGCACGCGGTATCCCAGCTTCCTGCCGTCGAAGCCCGACCTGGGGAGCTCGCAGAGACACCGTAGCCCCTCTGAGGGCTCTACTTGCGGGGGGCTGTAGGGCCTTAAAGTCAGATTTGTGTAGGAGTTTGTGATGTCTAAGTCTTCCGGGTTTAGGGCCCCTCAACAGCTCGCTGGAGCAAAGCCTCTGGCATGAAAGCTTCCATGGGCACCTGCAGACGGCTGGGCTTTTGCTGCTTGGCTGAGGGTGTAGGGAGCTTACTGGATTCAGGGGCTGGGGATACGAGCTTGTCACAAAAGGACCTCGACTCTCGACTGTTGAACAGCCCTCCTATAGGAGCGGTGCTCTGATCTCAACCTGCATCCGAACCTTTGCGCCCAAGACTGCGAAACCTTAAGTCCCAAACTCCATGTGCAGCTCAACGGAGCAAGTGCGACATTTCGAGTTCACTGGCATAGTTTGGGTTGCATGGATAGTTCCTGGGCGAGATGAGGGAACGAGTGAACTCTTCTGCTGAGGACAGGGTCAGAAACTTCGGACAGCTCAGCCGGAACGCGAGAACAGACAGGAGGCAAGGGAGATGGAGGTCTTCAGCAGCTTGCGGCTAGAGTCGGCTAGAGCGAAACCAAGCTTAAGCAAAACGAACACACAAAAATGAGACACACCGAAACCAATCTGGGCATCAGCCCCTAAAAAGTCCAGGAAGCCCTACACAAAACCAACGAAACCTACTCGGTGACCGGTGCCTGACGCTCGCCTCCTCCGGAATTGCGAACAGGTTCGGCCTGTCTTGGGGTGACCCGAAAAGCATGGTCCTAAAGGGGTTAGGGTGTAATGCTTCAACGGCATTTAGGGCTTAGTGTGGTTGGGTGCTTCAGGGGTTGTGGCTTAAGACTCTGGATTGTTGGTCCCGGGATCTCCTGGATCTTGCCCCTGCTATGATTAGGTCAATTACCTTCTCGGATGAGTAGTTTGGAACTTTGGACATGGGGATGAAACAGTATGACGCTGGGAGAAGCAGCAGCAGTGCCTACGCAGTGTCATTGTTGCTGCCTGCTGATTTTCCTGTTTGCCGACAGTCACCACCTTAGCAACTCAGCGTAGCCCATAGACCGCTCTCGGGAGGCATGCATTCGGCTTTCCGTTGCCAGCTCAGTGCTGAATCAGACTCTAGGACACCACACGCGAATAATGTTGGAGCCAGGTGGGAGTTTCTGAAATTGGGATCCCACGGAGCGTGCCAAAACAGAGGAAAGTAAAAGCGACCACCACACAGACCCAAAAGTCATGCCAGTGCCGTTAGGCGACCTGGGCTGGCGTCGCCTTGTTCGACACATCCTGGCCAACGCAAAGCGGCATTGGGAGTTTACGGGATTCGCTCAGCAAGACAGCCTGCTGTGATGCTGAAAGTTGGGTTCTTTAATATTCTACCTGACATACATACTCATACCGAGAACATCAAGCCTCATCAAAGTATTGTTTGTTCTCGGTCAAAATGCCGGGAATGCGGTTGACCCGAACACTGGGAGGAACCCAAGCATGCACGTACATGTGCTTGCGTCTGTGTATGTGCGCGTGCAGATGTAGGTGCATGCGTACGAGTATGTGCTTTTTTGTAAGTGTCCGTATTTGTGTGTGTGTGTGTGTGTGTGCGAATGTGTGTGTGTGTGTGTGTGTGCGCGCGTGTGTGCGTGCGCGTGCGGAAGAATATTTGTGTACATGCTCAAGTGCGTGTGTACACATGTGCAGACACGTGTGTGCGCATATGTGTGTGTGTGTGTGTGCGTATGTGTACATAGTATGTGCATTTGCGCATGTGTATGTGTGTGTGTGTGCACGTGTAAGCCTACATGTATGTATGGGCGTTTGCGACTATGCGTGTACGTAAGTGGATCTCTGTCTCTCCCTCTCTCTCTCTCTCTACCTCTCTGCCGGCCCAAACAGCAACAAACACCACAAAACACAATAGGCTCATTTTATCTAGTGACCTACCTGTTTTATCGTCATGCTTGGTTCACAAATGTGTATACCATTTATGTGTATCTACATATATATATATATACATACACCCACATAACACAAATATGCACACATTTATATCCATGAATGCACGCACACATGCCTTTTTCAATATGCATGCACATGCAATGCACACAAGAAAGCACACATAGATGCATGTGCCCACATATACATGCACTGACAGGTGTATGCATGTGCGTATGTGTGTATATATAGATAGATAGATAGATAGATAGATAGATAGATAGATAGATATACGAAACTGGCAAGCAGGCCCTTGCAAGGCTTCTTTCGCCATTTTGTGTCGAAAGTTGGAGCAACGGTGGTTCAAGCTATAATATCCCCATCGAGCCGGGGCAGTTTGAACCTGAGCACGAATCCCATAGCTAGCAGCGCAGCCAGGCTCCAAGACTACACCTAATCCAACCCCATCTCAAGCCGAACCCAGAATCCGTCTCAAAGTTTGAAAACCCAAGACTTGGAACACACACGGCATCGCCTCTCTGTTGGCGATTGTCTCTGAGGAAGGCTTGGGCGGGAGCCTCGGTGCAGCTCAGTGCTGAAACTATGACTACAGACTGCGGTGCGGCGAAATGCCCGACAAGATACAACACGGGGCGCACCGGAGCGCGTACTTTGGCATCCAACTTTCATCAACATGATGCTTCTGAGATGATGACATACATATGCAGGAACATGTCGAAGCCTGTGAACTTGAAAGAAAGGCATTTCAAAGTGCAACCGGGCAGTGATTCTGTAAGTGCAAGCACGCAATTTGCTGCTGGGCTTAGCAAGTCCAAGCTGCGCACTGACCTGGCAACGGGTGGGCCCGCTCACACTGGGTGCTGTGAGAGCGTATCTCTCAAGCCGCACCGCAGGGCAGCGCAGCTGCGGTGTTTGATATGCTATGTAATCAAGCCGCGCGGGGTCCTTCCAAATCTCGCCTGTCAAATGTCTTACGCCTGTTGAAGGAAGACCGGACAGGCACGACCATGCGAGCCGCCCATTGATTCTTTTCGCCTGCCATGTGGCCGCTGAGCAACGCTGAGTTGGCAGCAATAACAACCACGGCTTGTGGAACATAGCAGCTGGGCTCGGGCTACGGCAGCAGTAGCCAGACAATACGCTAACGCCACCATTCTCGCGCAACTGCGAGAACCGATCAATGAAACCACCAGCAAAATAATTTCCTCCATCATGGCGAAACAAGCACAGGCATAGCTGGGTCACATCCGCGCATGTCCATCACAGACTATGAAGTTCTGCATCTTCGACGTCAAGATGCGGAACTATCGCAGTTATCAGGCAGGCAGCCGGTTGCGACTCTGGCACGTTTATGATTCGTACCATCCAACACACAAAATGCTGACGGCGGTGAGGTCAGCGCAGCTGAGAAAGCATTGGGTAGGCACACTCCACACACAGAGCCTCGACCAGTCTGTCCTGACAGACAGTCACACGCCGCTCGCGGCAGCCCGCGATTATCACAAGGACGAAACTCATCTGCGCAGATCAAGGGAGGGCACGCAGCACCCACTCACACACTTGCCAACACATAATCCAAGCGGACGTTGCCGGCAGCCAGCGGCAGCCATGCAAGTAAAAAAGGAAGAGGGCAGAGGCAGAGGCGAGAAGACCTGTCCACGAACCGGCGGCTGCCCTTTGTAATATGCCCTATCATAGTAAATATAGTCGTGCAGATAGGCAAAACACATCACAGCACACAAAGAGCGTATGGCAAGACTTGTAAGGAAGTAGACCAAAACAAGGAGAAGACAGAGCTCAAATCATGTAACAAGTTAGAGAGCGGCCAGACAGCAGAGAGAGTATCGAGAGTATCGGGGAGAGAAAGAGAGATAGATAGAGAGAGAGAGAGAGTTGTGTACAATTCGAATGGACACGAAGAAAATACGCTACGCGCTGTGTTGGGAAGGGCCAGATGCCCTCAACATTAAACCCCTCCGAAGCCCTTGCCCTCAACCCCCAAACCCCTTCAAACGCAAGAACAAACCCCAGAGACCAACGCCAAAACGCCCTGAAACCCCTCAAAAATGATCGGAGAGCCGAGCTCCCGGCGCCTCGATGTCCAGCCCCACCTCTCTTCGAATGCTTTGGGGGGCTCCAAAGCCATGGCTGTAATGGGGCCCTGTGCTAAAGTTATCGGGCAGAGAGTTCTCGGGCTTTGGTGCGGGAGGTGGTCCCTGCAAAGATGCATGCTAGAAGAGGAGGAACCCGAAACCCATGTAACCCTAAATCCTGAAACCTGAATCTAGAATCCTCCCTCATAGCCGCTCAACATGCACTGACAGTGTGTAACAGAACTTCCGAGGGGCAGTACATAGTTCTGTGCTCGGGAACCGGATAACAGCGGATGCTAGTTGTTGAGACCGCGCTAGGGCTCTGGTTCCAACATTCCCCTTCGTGTCTACTACCCCCCTTAGATCCCTCAGCACCTAAGACTGAAACTCGAAAGGTATGCCGAAGGGATCCGCTGGACGCCCTCAACCTCTAAAGATCTGCAACAAACCATGCAAAACCTCGAACGCGAACCCGACAACCCATGAATCGCCAGAACCCCCAAACCCTCAAACCCAAAGCCCAACAAAACCTGAAGCCTAAACCCTAAACCTTGAACCCAACGCCCTAAACCCGAAACCCCTAAAGACCCTCAGCCCCCCCCTTCCCCCTTCGCCTCATCGCACTGCCCGAGGAGGTCGCAGACCCCGAAGAGCGGAGACGCCTCGGAGGGTCCCCGAGGCTTCCTCCTCTGCCGCGAGGTTTTTGCTTTAAAAAAGGGGACCCCTCAGCTGGGCCTGAAATGACAAGTAGTTTAGGGTTTAGGGTTTAGGGTTTAGGGTTTAGGGTTTAGGGTTTACGGGAGGCCTGAAGACAAGTAGAAGAAGGAAGGCTTTGGGGTGGGCAAGGAACCTAAACCCTCAACAAACCCGAAGGATTCGTCATTATTTCGGCTTCTGTGCGAAGGGATCGGGCCCCCAGCTGGGCCTCGGGAAAGTCTCTGTGAGCTCTTGTGGTGGAGAAAGTGTTCCAAAAGGGTTCTGATGTGTGGCTCAAGGCTTTTGGTTTTGAGGGTGGAGAGCTTAGGGCTTCAGGCCCCGAGGCCTCGAAATCCGAAACCCTGGGCCCGAAGCCTTCAATTTCAATCTCTTTGGTTGTAAGTACCCTAATTGGGGGTTATAATTATAGTTACTTTATTTATAACCCTATTTACTAAGTCCCATGATCCTCTAGCCAAGGACGGCAAGAGTCCGAATCTGAATCTCCGTTGAGACCAGGACGAACGGCACGTGAGCACCAGCCCGCTCAAAAGCCACCTCGACATGTCACCATTGTGGTTTAGGCTTACCTCGTACTGCGTATTGGGCGTCACGGTCGCCGTTGTGCTCTTTTTGTCCCTTGCAGGAAAAGCCAGTGGATTACATCAACAACGATGGTCGAATAGCAGCTGCAACGAGATGAAGAAAGGTCGAACGCGACGCCTGAACCATAAATGACAGAAGAGCAAGCCACCACCCTGTAAAAGCCTTGAACCCGGCAATTGCCCTTCATGCAGGGGCTGTACAGCTCGGTGTCCGCTCGTTGAGAAGCAGAGAGGGATGCAAGCAGGTGTCATCTTCATGGTCTGGCTACTTCTTGTCGCAGTTCCTAAACCTCATCCCAAAAAACCTATACAAGAAAGCTGAGCCTCGCCGTTCACATAGACAGCAAACTCGCCGCCAGTGCGGATGAGCACTCCGACCTCAGAGAAGAAAGGAGCATGGCACCTCCTAGACTGTCGCACAACAGGGCTCGTTCTCCTGCCCCCTTTCTAAAAGCTACTTCGACTGGGGCTCCCAACCCTGTCTCCAGCACGCAATGTCGAAGGATTCCTGAGGCAAGGTGGCAACCACTTCCAGGGTTTGGGGTTCATTGTTTGGGGGCCCTTTGAGGGGATCTAAGACTCCGGGATAAGAGGGCAGCAAGAATACAAGAATCAGAGGCTGGCTATGAGACATCGAAACGTACATGGGAATATGACTGGGTGTGGAGGCGCACATGGAGCCTCTCGTGCAGAGCTTTCTGCAGTCCGAACACAAGCATGTGGAACCAAAAGGCCCCAAAAGCATGTGAGCTTCAACCAGCTCAAAACTACGCAGGTCTCAAACCTCTCACCTGCAACAAGCCTCGGTCCATAAACTTGCTGCAAACTCCGAACTTTAACCCCCTGGGGCTCAAGACGAACAAACAACTACTCGCGAAGCTCTGGACCCCGAAACCGTCAGCATCAATACCCCCTGAGACGCCAGCCAGCTGATGGGCAGCATGTCGGCCTGGCATCTGATAGACCCCAAATCCAGACGCTGCGAAGGGATTAATGGTTTCGCTACCTTGGGCTTCTTCTCTCTACCCCAACACTTCTGCATGAAACTCCTAGGCACGTCAACTATATGCCCACTAACTATGCAAAACATAGCCGCTGCTGCTACTACTACTACTGCTCCTCCTCTTCCTACTACTACTACTACTACTACTACTACTACTACAAGATGCGAACTGGGTGTTCCAGCCGGCATCCTGCACAAAGAGTCACTTCCCACCGTCAGTTCTGAAGATCCAGGCGCCTTCACGCAGCTTTGAGCCTTTCACCTCTGTTGACAACCCACTGGCCCATCTGCCCCTGTGCCGTTCCCAGCCTTTTCTCACTCGATGTATGCTGCTGCCGGGTAGCTGTACAGCTGCGGCACAGCTGCATCCTAACGTAACCATATTGTCATATTGTCTTTACGCTATCTATACACCGTAGGCAATCGCCTCAAAAGCTGAGGCAGCTGTACAAGTTTGCATCCGAGTATAGAGTCACCCCCCTTCGAGGGTTAATAGTCCTCTTCTGAACGGTTCAAAACTTTTTTGAACGATGCGAGGCCTTGCTCTAGGCGTCCCCTACTCATGTCAAGAAGCCGTGGCACAATGCAGGTGTGGCCATCGAGAGGGAGGTCCCCGGTGTCGATGAAGCTCTGGATCCGTGAGACGCAGGCATATCTGGCCATTTCTT